ATTCCTAAGTTCGGCGATCATTAGGGCGACTTTCGTTCTTGACACCGCGGCTCTGAAAAGTGAACGGGTGCTCTTTCCACCACTGACGTAGGTTTTTGAGCCAGGACGTTCTTCTTCAACCAACACTTCGCTTTCCGTGGATCTTGCCTTGTACGATGAGCTGCAGTAGTTCGTATTTGGCATTTCGCATTATGTGGCCTAGGTACTGCAGCTTTCTCAACTACTGTGTATTAATTTGTACACATTTCTAGCATTATAGTCGTATTATGGTAACGTTAGCAAGTTAATTTGCAAGACATTTACATCTCTCTTAATAAACCGCGATTTCATCTATTAATGGCCGGTTTCCCAGCTAAATTTAACCATTCATTAGTGTTTTTAGTTCAATAACTTTATGAAATGCGTTTCCGAACTACGTAATTTGACTTTTCATCATTCATTCATCACCAGCTCACTATACGTCCCCACCGAGGGGCTCGGAGCCTACCCTAAAGTTAGGGTGACTAGGCCAGAGTCAACCACGCTGGCCAAGTGCGGGTTGGTTGACTTCACACATATCTTTGAATTTCTTCACCGACATGTGCAGGTTGCATCACGATGTTTTCCTTCACCGTAAGAACGTCGGGTAAATTATGTACATATGAAAATTCGAAAAAATCGAAAATCACATTGGTACATGGCGGCGGGATTCGAACCCAAGACCTGTAGATTACAAGTCAAGTGCTCAAGCCACTGAGCCACCGACGCTCAACGTCGCTCGTCGACGTCGACGTCACGAATTTGACTTTTACTCCGTTGAAATAGGACAACCTTACACTTATAAATCACTGGGTAATGATAAAATAGATGAAAACCTCAGCAACCCGACATAAAAGATTTATTTTATTATCTAGAGATATTCTATATGATCTGTCGTGTCTCATATATCATTATTGTAAATCGATTATCAACGCGAATAGGAATCGATTCGTTTATCCGATAGGCCTATGAAAATTTTCATTATTCAGTCGTGCCTGAACATTACGTAGACCTTCCGAGTATCGATCAGGTCGGTTCAACGAACCGCGGGTCCGGGGCTAGCTTTATTCGGCGCTGAAACGAAATTACTCGAGTCGGCGCGAAAATTAAATTGACGACGTACGAGCTGCGAAATGAAAAGCGATTCATTGTCACTTCAATCGTGATTATTTCTGTGTTTATTACGCGGATACGATCACAATGTATTTAATGGGATTTCCAATGGATACACAGTAGTGTTATACATTCCGAATTATATTCCATTACAAAATCTCTTATTTATGGCATAAACATTAACTGGTATTTTTTAAAATATATATTCAACTAGGTATTAACTATCGTGTGTTAAACTGCATGTCACTTAGTAAGAAATATCAAGCCAACATAACGTTTGTGAGATAGACTGTCTTACAGCGATTGGGTTGTTTAGCTCCCGATATTTTGACACCCCTAAGAAACCCGTATTTTACAAACATTACATTTGCTAAAATCACGATAGTTTGATATATACCAAGCCAATTTTAGTATCAATTTTAATTTAAATAATTTTATAACACCCTGTACACATGTAACATAAGCAGATATCTTGTGGAACGCCTCAAGGCGTATCGTATTGCTACGATAATACCGTCACGGCTGAGTCAGTGACAGCGAATGCTTTGACGAGGGTACCAGCGAAGTTATAGCATGTCGTTAAATTCACAACACGTAAATATAGCATAATCTAATTTACCTGCAGTGTTAAGATTACAAATGTTATATAAAGATGTTATGAACTAAATATATTGAAAACGTAAAGATTATCACAGAGTCGTAAAGAGCAAAATAAGAGGTCTACAGACGTATTCTTTAGTCATATTTAGATAACTCTGTCACTTCAACACTAATTAAATAACCTCTAATGCCAAAAACAAACCATAGATTTCCAAGACGTCAACAGAATAAGCAGATTCATTGAGCACATCAATGTTTAAATTTCTTCGTAGTGTTTGTTCAAAGTGAATTTTATCACGATTTTATGATCATCGTCCGCGTGCTGACGTCCGCTATCGGATTTAACATCGACATTAAGAGATTTTATTGTTTCGTCTCAATTACGAACACTTAGGCGCGTTAAAGCACAGATTGCCTAATTTTTATTAAAAAATACACGTGCCTTTGAACTGTTAAAGACGTTTCTGTCTATTTATAAAATTTCCGTATTAATTCTTCAAATTTACTGTTTTATTAAAATACTAGCTTTCCCCTGGGACTCCGTCCACGCGGAATTAAAAAAAAATAATAATCAGTAGCCTATATGTTCTTCTTGACTATCGTCTACATCTATACCAAAATTCATTGAGATTCGTTTAGTCTTTTAGACTTCTAGCTCTAACAAACATTCATCTAAACATTCCCATTTTTAATATCACTAAGATATCTTACAATCTTTCAAACTGTTAATTAATTTTGACTTCTAACTATTGTCTCATAACCTTTAATTTTGAGGTAGAATATGTCCCATTAACCAGCACAATTTCTATCTATCCCTTGTCAGATAAACCGTATAGCTAAATAAGGTCAATAAATAAGCCTGGCCTGTCAGAGATCGTATCTCCAAGTTTGCGGACGACGCTTCGATACGATAGATATCGCTACGGTTGCTACTTGATGTTACTCCGAGCCTTTGTTAGGTTATATTTATCTCGCTAACCAACCTTATTAAAGTTTATAGCTTCATTATATTAAGGGCGTTGGTTAAACGTAGTTACAAGAAATAAGATTCAACGTAAGTTCCAAAAGTGATAATGGAATTAATGTGCAAGTTTGGAAAAGGATTTAGTCAATTTAAACGCACAGAATGAAATTGAGTATGGATTTTTATTGATTACTAGCTTTCGCCCGCGACACCGTCCGCGCAGAATTGAAAAAAAAATTAAGTAGCCAATGTACTTTTCCAGACTATCCTCTACATCCATGCCAAATTTTATCGATATCCGTTCAGCCATAATTCCTTATTTCTGAACGAAAGATTATACATTCAATTTATTAATTTCCACAAGTATACATTTAGTTTCTATATATTGTGATTTAATAAGAACAAAAGCGAATACATGCGTGATAATATAACACCTCCCTTGTGACGAAATAATTAGAAATACGCAGAAGTCACATCTAGTAATGTTCCCTTAAAACGCAAATGAGTCTTTTAATTAATTACATCATAATTTGGAGTAATTCTAATAATTATATAGTTAATTACTCAACTTCATAAGCGTCCCTTATATTTTACTAGCTTTGGCCCGCGAATCCGTCCGCGTGAAATTAAAAAATAATATAAAACATAGCCTATAGAGCGTCAGTGGCTCAGTGGTTTAAGCACTTGACTTGTAATCTAGAGGTCTTGGGTTCGAATCCCGCCGCCATGTACCAATGTGATTTTCGATTTTTCGAATTTTCATATGTACATAATTTACCTGACGTTCTTACGGTGAAGGAAAACATCGTGATGCAACCTGCACATATCGGCGAAGAAATTCAAAGATATGTGTGAAGTCAACCAACCCGCACTTGGCCAGCGTGATTGACTATGGCCTAGTCACTTTAACTTTAGGGTAGGCTCCGAGCCCCTCGGTGGGGACGTATAGTGAGCTGGTGATGATGATAGCCTATGTTACTCACTGACACCGTAGTTTTATAATGGTGAAATCGGTCCAGTAGATTTTGTGTTATTTCATTACGATCAAACGAAAACTTTTCCTCTTTATAATATTAAGTATAGATAATTCATTTTAAGTAAACAAAATATAGTGTGATAGTTGAAAATTATACCCTAAATAGTTAATTCCTATCACTATAGTATAGAACAATGTCGCTGCCCGCTGTATGACTGTTCATATGTACTTCGATCTTTAAAACTACGGGACGGATTTTTTTAAATAGACAGACTGATTCAATAGGAAGATTGGGTGAGTCGCTAGTTAACGATATATTGGAGTTAAAATAACTGTCAATCATTATACAGTTAGTATACATTTTGAATAGTATATAGTATACATAGTAAATAGATAATGATAATTCTGATTATGGGTCTACGTCCGGTACGCGATGAATGTTTTATAAAATAACAGTAATTGTTATGAAGTACACAATATCAAAGTATATATATATCAATTACTGTAGAAAACACGCTTACAATCCACATTCATAAATAAAGAATATATTCTTTGTTATATCTGAATGCTGTTTATAAAAGTTACACGATACAGATTATAAAATTATTTATTTGTTAATAATAATGCTTTTGTTTCCATCAAAAGGAACTAATTAACGTATATTTTCAGTGCCTGTCTTTAGATATATACAAGTTGTGCTGCTTTTTAGTAACTTTTGTAGTAATGAATCAGTTCTGTATGTTTCCATGACTCACGTCACGTCAATCTATCGTTATTTTCTGACGGCACTCAAAATAAGCAAGCGCGGGAACGATGTCGTGTTGTCAAATATGTCACTCACAGTTCCTACCAGCGAGCAGCGGCCGACTCCGTCGCTCCTGTCGTGTTTATATTATTTAACGTAAACCTAATTGTACCGTGGACATATCTGTAAACATTAGTGATGTTTCTATTAAGCTATCATCTCTATCGATATGTTTATACATCTCATTTACATCTCGATATAGAGAAATCAAACATTCATATCAGAGGAGTAGTTAGCTTCCCTCCCTTTATCATTTAATGACCATCATTACCAGCTCATTACACATCCCTACCGAGGTACTCGGAGCCTACCCTATGTTAGGGTGACTAGGCCATAGTGGCCATAGGCTGGCCCAGTGCTGGTTGGTTGATTTCACACATATATTTGAATTTCTTCGCCGATATGTAGAGGTCTTTATCATTACACGAAACAATTCGATCACACAAATAACTTTTATAATGACAATTTGTTACGCGATATACGACCTTAACTCGGTCTGTTAGAATTTAAAGTATAATACTGACCGTCCGTGGGCGAGGTGTACAACTTCTTGCATAGCTCCTGCGGCCCACCGAGCGCGTTGATCTTGGCCAGGCCCTCGGCGCCGCGCGTCTCCATCAGCTCGCGCAGCTGGCGCAAGCTGACGCCATACTGCGCCGGCCGGCCCTCCACCGTCGCCATGGCGTCGGGCTCGCGGCCGCCCGCACCACGCCCGACCTCCCTCTAGATCTGAAACAACGATAAATTACACATTATTACACTGTAAAAGACAGGTTATAAACGCAAATTTTTAACTTAACAGTTAGACTCTTCAGTTAAAACTGTCAAATAGAACTGGCTGTAAAGGGACTTGTTTATTTACTTTTGGTGAAAGTGATATTGAAGCGTAGTTAACGCATCCAAAACTCTATTGTATGTTTCTTAATCTACTCTGGCTAGCTAGTTTGTTGTGAACCTCCAAATAGCAGGCAGTAAACTAAAGACTTCAGTTCAAACTAACAGTAATGTGTATTTATGTTCCCATATTAACAATAAAACCTTATCTATGTACTATTTTCTCTACAATTCAAATAGCAAATAAGAACTCGCTAAAATATAACCAAAACCGTCTAGATACACTTATTAACACGCTTTGCATCGCGTTCTAAAACACTCAAGGTAGAAATAGTGAAGTTGCTAAGTGCACTATTCCGTCTCGTCACATAATTAAGTAACTTCGAACACCTACATAAAAGGTGTGCAAAATTGGATCGTCCCACGCGACGCTACGCCATTCGAAACGTTCAAAGGCTACGATCTCAACTATACTTTGATCTAAAAATAAATAACTACGCCTACATACGCGAATGCCACGAATCTGATTAACATGACATTTGACGTTAACACGATTGTAATAAAACGTGTATGAAAGTATTAACTTAAATCTTAGAGAGCGCACATTTTTGTTCAAACTATCGCATAACTGTTTAGTCTCGCTTTGATTCCTATGAGCATATAATAAAGGTGCGGACACTACTCGATTTATAGTTGTGCAACTAAACAATTGAATTGGCTGCGAAACAATCGACAATCGCACAGCAGTTGTGCGATAGTTTAGTAAAATGTGCGCCCGCTCTAAAAGTTAACACTTACACCACATTGGCCTGATAAGTTTACTTTCACACGAAACGTAACACGTAAACCTAATTCAATGAACCACAAACAACATTACAAGAAACATACAAAAAGATACAACTTAATAAACATAAAGAAACAAACAAACGAGACATCAAGATGTGAATGTAAATACTCGTGTAGTAGACTTTAGGGCTGTAAGGTGGGTTGCAGGGGCTAAGGGTGGGTGGAGGTACCTGCGAAGGATGTTACTGGTGTTTATGAGGCCATAAAGTCATTTCTCGCTCCACTGCACTGTCATGCATAATTTAGACGGCGACTGAGGGTTAATAAAACGAGTAATTTCATGAGCCTGCTTGTATTATGAATTAATGTACTTTTAATGCTAACTGAAGAGTATTCTTAACTTATGACGTCATAAGGCAATGTTGCTACGTTTCCTTATTACATATTAAGTACCTTAAAATGTATTTAATCTTTTTACATTGATGTTTCTTTAATTAATTGCTTGAATTACGTACATTTTTAGATTTCAACATAATTTAATTTAATATACTCTGATGTTATGACTGAATCCCTTTTTAAGGTTCTTTTTGTTATTTTATAATTTTCTACCTCCCACTTAAAAGAACGTTTTATATTTTTTACGCATCCTTTATAACACAAGACATCGTCATGACCTTTTTTGGAGTGATGAAGTTTATACGTTCAAACCATATTTGGTGAACATCTAGTTTAGTCATTCAAATAAATAAAAAAATATTACTGCCATAAAATAATTTTACGAACATGATTCGTACCAAACTTTTCATTCACCTCAATCCATTCAATTCATTCATTTGAAATTACAAAAATGTAAATTAAACTCCTTATCGTATTAGTAACAGATACATTTCTCAGAATTTCGTACGTCAGAAGAAAATATCGAAGTTCTAAAGTAGGTCGAGACTGTTAGTACAACAATCGAAGAAAACGCGTTTATCGTTCAACGACTACACAGGGCGTTTTAAAAGGTTTATCTACGTCACCGGGTGACTATACAGGATGTTCGGAAATGTTTAAGTAGCGAATACTGCGAACAAAACAGCGCGAGCGAGGCCTTTTATGAAGAATGTGAGAATATGTCGAGCGGAAATTGCGCTGGAAAAGCGCGGAGGCGTTGTTTAGAGAGCGTGCTCTTGAAGTAATTAATTAAATAAAACAATACATATTAAAATTGCGTGATAAAACAGAAATATGGTGTTAATTGATGAACGAAGGAAGTAACCGGATAGTTACGAATTTAGAGATCTTTTTGCTAGTTATTTTACACACAAATATCTCGAGACAAAAGATTTTTCAAAGTGACTGCAAACTGCGGTCCGTGTACAGATAAAGTACTTGCTGATCCTAACACTAAGTGTATTAAGGTTTCCCTAGCGATTGCTTAAATTGGTTCGTGTACAGTGGCCTTAGAATACAATTTTATGTCTTTTACTTCTTATTATAATTAAGATTTAAATGTACATTTTGTACGTAGGTGTCTGGGACCAGAAAGCAAACTAAGTTGTTTACTTAAGATTGTATCCGAAAATACACAAAGCCGATAAAGCACAACAGAGATGAGTAGGTGTTTGTTATTAGCCTTAACTTAAGTGCGAAGGGGTGAGTCGAGTGGGGGTGCCACCCTTAGGGTGAGTTGGCATCCGGGTTGAGTGCCATTGAACGGCCGGCAATTAGGTCGAGCGAGTCCCCATCTTTGTTGGATTCTGTACGCCCATATCCTATGGAATCTTAGACTTTTAAACAATGGCTACAAGCCGATGTCTTCAAAATTAAATTATTGGGCTGTTAAAAGTTTATACGTAATAAAATAAAATAATAATCATAGATATTTAAATTTATTTACGTCAACTAACTATTCCAATTCTTTACTTTTATCACTAAAAATAAATAATTCAAGCGCACTTATAGGTAATAGAAAACCTTGACGATATGAAAGCGGTTTTAGTGACGTATAGAGAAAGTTGAAGTATTGGGCTTACGACTAGAATATAGACAGAACGTAGGTATAGACTTGCTAGATTTTATTATAGTTTAAAATTTATATCCATCAATTTTTTTCTTTCTTTACCATAATTATTTGATGTAATACTAGGCTACAAAGGTATAGGAAGACCGAAAAAATAATGGATGGATTGTGTGAAAGAGGATATGCTTTAGAAGGAAGTGGATTTAGATATGACAGCTGATAGGAATGTATGGAAGAGCAACACATACTGTGCCGACCCTCCGTAGGGACAAGGCAAGTTGTTGAATTATTTGATGTAACCTAGATATTAATAGCCCACTTATCCTGTTTTATTTGGTTATAAAAACACAAGATGCTAAAAACTCCGATGTAATATTGAAACTGCCAATCATTTAATATGAACAAAGCTGAATGTATACAAAATTTTGATTGAATGTGTTCGTAATAGGCCGCTGCGAAGGGAATTAGTCAACGTCAAGTCGAATCGCGCGAGCAATAAATTCAAGATTGAATATTAGCAGGGAGGACGAAACATTTCAGTAATGAATAAGGAAAAAAGTTCATAGCATAGTTAAAAATCGGTACTGTATTATCGTACTTGTATACTTTTAAAATGGATATATCATCTATGGATATCTTATCCGGAGCATAAAAATTAGGGGAAACAAGTTATTTACTCATCGTTAGACTTGAATGATACACTTATATCATATCATATTTTTTTTACTAATATTATAAACGCGAAATCTTAGATAGATGGATGTTTGTTAGCATTTGTAGCCGTAACGGCTGAACGGATCTCAATGAAATTTGGCACAGATGTAGAGTAAAATCTGGAAGAACACATAGGCTAGTAGGTTAAAAATCTATGACTTTTAAGCAATGTTTAGTTTAGAATTTTAATAATATCTATCATCTCCCTTGCCTTATTCAACTCGATAAAGATCAACGCAGCAGGTTTTATGAATCTTTATATCATGGCTTCAATTCTATGATCGAAGATATTTTTTTTTATTAAAAAATAAAAAACGTTTGAAATATAATAAACCAGTATTATTAATGTCTTTATCAGAACTTGTTATTGTTTCATAAGACAGGCATTGCGTTTCACATCAACATCATCATCCTTATCAGCAGGTTTTTGTCCTCCAAATAACTCTATCATACGTCATCTCAGTCATCACTCCTTTTTTGATCATGTCACCTTTCACGCAATTGTTTCACATGCGAAAATATAAAAATAATTTCCGAAGTATAAGCAAGTAAAAATAATTAAGTACTGCAAAGAATTCATAGGTAAAAGTATTCGTAATACTGAATTGTTACTCAAGAATTTACGTTTGCTTGTTTGTACGAAAAAAGAAATAGATAACAGATACAAATGATTTACGCATTCCTTAACAGCGTGGGCGTGGGCACTTTATTTAATAGCAATATAATGAAAATATACGAAACTCTATGAAATAAGGTGAATATTTCTGACATTGAATTACTATAAGATACTTTATCAAATGTAACTGTTCCCGTGCGGCTTCATCCGCATGGAATTATTAAAATTTTGTTTTATTGTTTACATTTTATCAAATTATCAATAGCAAATGACAAAACGACATGACAGGATGTCAAACCATAACAATCTTGCTTCCTTGATGTTGGCAACAACTTATGATCTCTTTCCCACATTAGGAATTTAATCCAAAATATTTACCCCTAAGTTTAAAGGCGTTAAAATGTATAGCGTAAAGCGTGACGTAAGTGTAGGGATTTTATTAAAAAAAGAGTTTTTCGTAAATATGCTGTGATTGCTGACATCTTAGGCAACAAAGAAGTGTGTGTTTACGCTTTATTATAATAGTATAGACTAGCATTTGCCTACGAGGAATAAAAAATAAACTAAGTAACTAGAGGATGTATTTTTCCAGACTATGTACATCTGTGCCAAATATCATCGAGATGCGTTGAGCCGTTTTGAAGGTTCGGAGTAACCTAGTGCATAAAAACTTTCAGATATGTTCATTAACCCACCCCATATTATAACGTCACAACTATCAAATCCAAAAGAGAGAAATAAAAACCTATCAATCTTGTGTCTAAGGTTCAGAAA